TATATATATATATATATATATATATATATATATATATATATATTTTTTTTTTTTGTGTGGGACAAATAAAGGATATCTTATCTTATCTTATTCCTAATCCTCTTTGTAGAACAACTGTGAGCACTTCTCCGAAAGAGGAGTTGAGATGTCTCGAAGCGCGCTCATAAATTCCCGCTTGAGTTTTAGGCAGGAGACGCATCGCGACATGAAGAATTCCTGCCCGCGATGATCAGTGTTTTATAAGTTTGCCTGTCCTACACTGCCCCCAGGCGGCTAAGGCAGGCATAACAAATGAGCTGCATGCAATTGATGTGGTGTGACAAAAAACGTATTATTTTTAATTCCCGATTACATGACTCAGTGCTATTTGCCCTCATTCAATTATGAATTATTTAAAAAAAATTAATTATGAGCTTGGTCACAGAACAAATTCAAGTCATATCTGAAGGCGCCACTGTATTATCTTCCTTCTTGTGTGCCTTTTCCTCTATTGTCTACTAGCATGCCCTTCACCTGGTTACTGATAATGAATTGCTGTCAACTTCCTTCTTGTTATCAGCGTGCCTCATGTGCGAATGTCCCCCACCGCAGCCCATGCCGGACATGCTCGTCAGCACAAATATGAATCACGCACTCGCAGGTATTGAGCAATCACATGCAAATGTTTCTGCTGCCCCGACAGGAGGAGGAACGTTTTATTCAACGTTTTTTCTGCCCCCTTCAGGTCAAAATGAGAATAGCAACGATTCAAGGGTGTGCCTTGTGTTCAGAGTGGAAGAGCACTTTCGGGATCAAGATGGACAAGCGGCCCGCCATGTGCTTTTGTGTTTGCTTCTGGCTGTTGGCTCGCTAGCCGTGAGTTTAAAAAAACTAAATGATCACCTCCTTGCATTTGATGTTCTCACAAGTCGTGTTGAATGCATTAACACGGGTTGTGCGTCGAACGCATGTCGGGGTCCTTTCAGCTGCATTTTATATCACGGAAAATGATTTGTTTTCTTCACTGTATCCTTCCCTCGTGATAGAATTTGTCCAGCTGCGTGTGGTTGCTCTTGTACCAAGACCCGGGCAGACTTTATGTGGAGCTGCAGTTCTTTTGTGCCGTGGCCAACTACGGCCAGGTTGGTGTTCTAATCAGAACTCTGATGAAAGCACATTGCGTCACACACGGCATGACTATATGTGATTGCAGGGCTTTCTCTCCCTTGCTCTGTTTGGCCTGGACAAACATTCGATTCTACTGCCGTTTTGGAAGAGGTTAGGAACAAACAGTGTTGTGGAAAGCACATGAGTGTGTGTTTACGTGTTGATGTTGTGCCCGTCAAGGTTGCGCAGAATGTGGTGTGGAAAAAGGCAAGAAGAGCAAGCGCAAAGTAACGGGACCGAGGAGATCGAGGTGACCTGTGCTGACTTTGTCAAGCGCCATCAAGAGCAGTGTTTCCACGACATTGTGCGAAAGAGAAGGTGAGAGAATCTCCTGCTCAGCGCTTTTCATGTTAAAGGAAACGAGGAAGGCAAGGCGGCTTTATTTACAGAGCACATTTCATACACAAGATAACTCAATGCGCCTCAGATAATGACTGTAAAATCCCGCAAATAACAATCTAAAAAACAAACAAAGAAAATCCTAACTCGAGGGGTGGTATTACAGAGGTGGCTTTATATGTCATGAAAAATGTTGCCACTGTTTATAGACGTTCACCTTGGAGTTGAATCACTGATTTATATAGCACATTTCATACAATGCATTAAAAGTACAACATTTCAAAGTGGTGAGAGGTAAGACACTTAAAAGTAAAGGAATAAAAGTTGCTTAGGATACTTACTAACAGAGCACGCAGTGCAAGACCATGATTTTAGAATAAAAATATTTGAAAGGTGCTTTGACAGACCTTGATCACACAGGTGTGGGAAAAGAGCTTTTTTTTTTTTTCTTTTAAACATTTACACTTAGGGTTGACTTCACTTCTATTGGCAGCTTAATCCATTTGCATGCAGCGTAACAGCTAAATGCTGCTTCACCATGTTTGCGTTTCACTCTGGGCTCCACGAGCAAATGTTTTCTTGACATTGGACTTTTATTCTATTGTCGTTCGTTCATTTTTTTTTTTGTACCCCTTATCAAAAAAGGTTTACATTGCTCTCAACTGACTCGATCCATCTTGCTCACTCCCCCACTTCACTTGCCCTCCG